TCTGTCTGTCTGTCTGTCTGTCTGTCTGTCTGTCTGTCTGTCTGTCTATCTCTATCTCTATCTAATTTAAGAACTGTCCATTTCCCTCACAGAAGGACTCTGGAAAATGTACAATAAAATATTAAAAGATAAAACTAATATACTGTATAAATGCAGCTAATAAACAAATAAGTAATATTGTGTTTTCATTCCAGAGTTGAACAGAGACACTTTAGGGGCCTTCGTTTATGGTAGACTGGATCAATGGAGAGGCTATTGGGGAGCTTTGTGTTCTACTTCTTGTCCTCTTGATTCCTCCCCAATCTGGCCTGTAATTTTTGGTTAAGTTATTACAGATGTCTTAGTTAATATAAATACTTCTCCGAGGATGAAATACTTTTAAAGAGAAGCAATTGTTCAACTTTTCTTAACATCCTTGCTTTGGATTCTTTAGAGAAGGACAATTATAAGCTTGTGTCTAATCAGAATAATAGAATAACAGGTTGGGAGGGATCTTCTAGTCCAAGAAATGTCAGCCAGGAAATGTTATACCATTTCAAACAAATGGTTGTCCAGTCTCTTCTTAAAAACCTCGGTGTTGGAACATCCATTTCTGCAGACAAGTTGTTCCCCTGATTGTTAAATCAGGCGAGTTACATAATGTTTTATTTAATGACCATGTTGCTTAGCAGTGGAGTTGATCGCCCCAATTGAGTTCATTAAGTGAGGACCACCTGTGGTCTGTAATAAATCCATTCCTATCTCTCTGGTAGATTTTAAATAGTGTCTCAATGCATCAGAGGCATAGATGGGGCCAGGGCAGGCAGGCAGTTATCAGCTGCCTTTGGGCTCGGATAGCAGTGAGGCAGGGGAGCTTCTGGAACCGGTTCCCAGCCTCCGCAGAGCTGCCAAAAGGAAGACACAATTAAGAACTCAGGGTCATCGTGGGAGTAAGGCCACAGGTGGACGATGAATGCCCCCTCCCATCAGGATTAAAAGAGAAGCAAAAGGGGAGGGGGCTTTTGCAAGAAACAACTTTTGTTCCAGCCTCATGAAGATTTGTCTGTATAACCCAGCCCTTCCCTGTCAGCACTGAGTATGGAATTTTACAAGGCAGCATTCCAGGACTGATAAAGGTCTGAGTTAATTAGTATACCTTTGCAAAACTGTTTGCCAAGCTGTTGGCTGACTGTGAATGAAATAAATTCACATTAATGTAATAAAAGAGGTTTTTGCTGGAACTCAGAATTGTCTTAGTGCTTTTGGGGGTGGCCTAGGACAGAACACTCCTGAACTATTTCTTGCAGTCGGAGTGAACTGCAAGTAAATTGAAACCAAATTCAGATAAAATAGATGTAATAATTGGAGAAGGCATAACTCCAAGGAAATGATAGACCTTCCTATTCTATATCACTTATTTTCCTCAAAAACAGCATGTATGCAGTCTGGACCTGTTGTAGATGCAGATCCCTCTCTGTTTCATCAGAGCTTTCCCTAAGAGTGCCTTTTATCAATTTTGGCTGATGTGACGATTATGCCTTTTCCTGGAAGAAAATGGCTTTAAACAGTATACTGGTAGCCACCTTGCTTTTTGATTACTCCAGTGTGTTTTGTAAGGTGATGGATGCCCTTGAATCTAACCTAGGAATCTCAATTAACACAGAACCCCATAGTCAAGCTACACTTATATTAAAAGACCTTCACTGGCTGCAAATGTATTTCATAGTGAAGACAACATGCTGGTTTATATATTTAAAGCCTCTTAAAGAGCACATTTTTTTAGATGATGAAGTAACTGGGGAAATTTTTCTAAAGTTGCTGTAGCTTTGCTAGTGAAATCCAGGGGCTGAGCCTTCTTTGTAATTGCCCTGATCTCTAGAATGCAGTCCCTATGGATATGGACTTAAAACAACTTGTTGGTATTTAAGAATTCCGTAAAACACGTTTAAACTTGATAGTTTTACCCATTTTTATGCTTAATTTTAATTGCTCATTTTAACTGGATTGTTGTTATAATTTGTCCTCATGCTTGTAACCGTAGAAGCTCCTGCATTCTAACGTTAAAAAAAATTACAATTCTGTATCAGGAATTTACTGACAAAATGGACAAGTTCAGGCTTTCAATTTTTCAGTTGGAAAAAAATTTAATTTATTGCATAATGGTTTGCATATATTACACACAGAAAAAATCTGTAGTTCTGAGTAACACTAATAATTGTGTTCAGAAATGAAGTTACTTCATATTCAATGAAGATACTACACATATACAAACAACACTCACCAGATATTTTTTCTACGCAGGAAAGAATTCTGCTTGTCCCAGCAATTAAGTTTGTTGTTATGTATAATTGTGAACTCGGTGGAATAACAATTAGTAATCAGAAAGGCTTGAAAATAAGTATTTAATATCTCAAACAAAACTTAAATTCATTTGATCAGCAAAGCATTATGACCACTCTATCTGAGATATTATCAGGCTCAAAGAACCAAGAACGGCATGTGGAGCTACTTCTGAGTAGTTCCTTTATTTTGTTTGCCTACATAAAGCCATTATCTGCAATAACTATAAATATGTTCTGTGAATTGCTAGGGAGGGCTTGATCTTGCCCAACAGATACTCCATTGTCTCTTAGCCACCTGGGGAAGAGCCCCTCCCTTCTATGATTCTGGACTACATTCCACCATGTATATTCCATTCCTCAAATAAATTTGTAAGTGGATCTATGAGCTAGGGATTATGACCTATAATAAAGAGTCCCTTTTGTGCTATGGTGAGTTATTTTTAAAATTGAGAGAAGTTGACATAATTCCACAGCTTGATACCACACAGATTTACGGGGACAGTTCAAATAAAATTCCCAGCTGATAGTCATACTGAAAGATTATGTTTTTGTTTTTATGTTTAAGGTTAAAAAGTGCATTGGATAACACAAACTCCTTGATCTCACATAAATAACTCTCTGACCCCAATCACTTACAAGAGACATTTATGATAGGTAATGTGTCTGGATAAGTACAGATGTCACAAAATTATTAAGTTGATACCTTACCTGTTATATATGTGAGAGCATCCCAGGGTATTTTTCCTTCTTGGCAATAAAGATTGAGGTTTAATAAGGCACATTCTCTGTCACTGTCATTAAATTCATAACATATGTTCCAACCAAGGGGTCCAAATTTTTTCCTTTCCTTGAAGATTAGAAAAATTAATTTTTTGGGTGAGTATCGAAGAACTTCATGACAAAAAAAAAAAAAAAAAAAGAAATCCATAAAAACCCATGTAAGAATTATTCACAATTTCTATAGCTCCCCTTCCCCCATTCCATTCCATGGGTTCCCATGGCTTATTTCATTTAGCGATAATATCAGATTTTCATGGTGATAATGAAACAGCAGAAGACATGTTTGTCCTAGAAAACTGATAAAATAGCTCCTACTTTTCTGAAGAATGAGAGGAAAGAGCTATTTCCTCTTTAGTTGCTTTTTCCAGCTGTACCTAGTTTTCTCTTGAGATCTATATTACCAGAGGAACATTAGGGATTCAGAAGCTACAAACTGAAGTGGCAGTGATTAAGAAACTAGGGAGAATTATATAATATATCTCTACATGCACTGATTAGAAAACAAATCAAAGCTTTCCTGAAATTCTATTTTCAACAGCTTGAGTAAAAGCAGCAAGTGAAAAAAACCTGGCTGGTTTTCCCTGGTTCCAGAAATCTTGGGAAAACATTTTTGAACAATTTTCACAAAAATACAAAAACTGTTAAATATGTCTGCAATTAGATGTTTCTTTATATTTTTCCCATCTTCTTCTACATACAGCAGATGCATGTAGTTTTCTAGTGTACCACTTGGAGAAAGGAATAGAATATAATCTTCTTTCTAAGGATGCTGCTGCATCTCTGATGCAGTGAGTTTTGATGCCCAGAAGCTTAATTGTTTCAGGATAAAAGATTAATGCCCTGCTGAAAACACTCATATGCAGAATATCAGAATCAATTTGACTACATCATAGGAAATAGATGGAGAAGGAATAATCCAGTCTGCAAGGCTACTTCCAGATGCAAATTGTGGAACTATTAAGTCTATCCAGTATTGATGTCAAATAAATATGGGTTTCACTTAGAAAAATCAAAGAAAGTAACATGGCAGCAATGTTTGATCTAGAATACAGATGGTCAGAATTCAAGTTCAATGTAAGGAACAAATTCAGAATGCTTAACGGTAGGCATAGGACAACTTGAGGACCAATTCAAATAAATAAGAAACACTGAAAATTAAAGCAGAAAAGATCATTCATCAACTTTCAAAGAGGAAATGATCCAAACAGCTTTCAGGATGAGCTATTGTGTTTGACAAAAGTCAGAGGATGAAAGCATGGTCAACAAGAAAGAAGTGTGATATCTGAACACAGATTTTCAGTGTTAAACATGTAAGGACAAAAATGATATCTCAATCAAGAATGTCAACAATGTTTGGAAATAACAAGAAAAACGAGAGATATTTTTAAAATGAGAGGTAGCACCAGAAAATTTACAGCAAAGGAGGAATACGCAATCATAGAAGAGGTTTAACAGAGATAAATGAGGTAAAGGAAGATAGAAAGACTATTCTAAAACCTTTACAAATGAGATTATAGAATGACAGAAACATTTATAGAGAGGACATCTATTCAAGGACTGATTCCACTAGAGAGTGAGGTACAATAGGCAATAGACTAGCTGTCAAATAGAAAAGTACAAGGCACAGAATCAAACTATTTAAAGCTTTAGATGAAACACTTAAAATTAAGAGCTTTACACCAATGGAACAAGAAATGTCTTTTCCAACACTTAGAAGTTAGAAAGGTTAAAAATGGGTCTTTTTGTGGAAACATATGGAGGCGAAAGCTGAATGTTAGAAATCAGTCCTGGACATATAAAGGCTGGTTACTCTCTTGATCAGTAAGGAGAAATTCAAATAATTATGCATGATCCATGAGCAAATAGTAAACTACATAAATTAACATGCTTACTAAGACTGAGTGAAGCTGAATGGGAAAACAATATGTAAGGTAGGGAGATGACTCAAATTACTCAAATGTCTTTGGGAGAGCTATACACAGATGCAGGTCAAGATGGCAAGCAATTGTCAATATAATCACCAAGGCCAAATTAATGGCTAAATTTTCCTTTAACGTCCAGCCTGTATGGATGAGACCTCTTTTCTTGCAACAACTCTTATGACTGAAAGAGAATTGCTGATCCAAAGGCACACTACGGTTGCACAGCAGATTTAAATCCAGATCTCCCCTGTGCAAGTTCAATCAGCCCCTAGACTTATATTCAACACTGTCTGTCTCATTTCCAGAGCATGGCTCATACTCAAGTTGAGATCAGGAATTATACCTCTTCTTTTTCTTCTAATCTTGGGGAGAAGAGAAAGGATTCTACTTCAAGAATTAGAAATAGTTATTTTCATTTTATAATCAGTGGGTAAGATTAGAGAAACTGAAGTGTATCTGAATTCCACTGAAATCAGTTTGTGATTTCAATTTGAAATCAGTATTTCATCAATATTTGTATTTAGAATCCAAAATGTGTCCCTTTATTAAACATGGGCAGTAACTCAATACAAACAAAGCTTCTAAGTAGATCTGGATTTCTATTCCATAAATGTCTATAATATTTCATTGCACAATATTAACAATCAGAAAATATTATAAATTTTATATTTTACTATGAGAAACTTGGATTCTCCTTTTGGTGTTTTTACAACATTCTTCATGCTTAATTTTCTCACAAACAGCTAAGAGAATTTGAAACAAAATGGAATGGAGAAGACATTTCAACTGAGATGAACAAATTGTTACATAAATATTTATAGAGTATATTTCCTTTCTTTTACAGCAATAAATTGGATTGGATGAAATTAAATAGAAATGTTTCTGACTGCAACAACAGGAACGCAAATCTTCCAGCCCAACTGATACTTAATATCTTAAATTTTCTCTAACTGAAAACATTTATATGTTAACTAAGATTTTACTGGAAGTTTAATATGATGATGATTTTATGAAGTAAATAAGAAGGCATTAGTCAAGGCAAGCAAATTACTTTTGCCTCAAAGCCACTTTCCCAAGGAAAATAGATTGTCACCACAACTACAGAAACATTGAGACAACAGAAAGATGTTGGGAAGCAAACTCTGTATTGAAGTCTGCCCACCCATACCTTTAAGGCTTTGGCTTCTTCTGCCTCTGATATCATATAAAAACAATTCATGCTTCAATAAAAGAATTCACATATTATTTCCTCTCTTTTCCAAGCTGTGTGCTGCAGCGGAAATGCAGTTTGCTTTCACCAGTGATCCGAACAGATCATTTGCAGGCTGTTTTATAAATGATGAAGGTTGCATCCAACACAAAGGCTACAACTCAGAGGAATGTTACCAGAACTTCTGAGTTTTGCAAAAAGATTATGGATAATTTTTTGATGTAAATAATAAAATGAGTAGAGTAGGCTTCATGAATACTGCTGCTCCGAGCTAATATATGAGTGTTAATTACCTGTGTGACCCATTCCTCAGAATGGAGTGATGAATCCGAAACAATCTGGCCATTCTGAAGGTGATTTATCTGTTTGTGGGATTTAATAGTCCAGAACTGGAGAAGTTAGGACTATGTCCAGAAACCACAAATAATTTACAGTCCTTGAAGATTTATTTCAAGAAACAGTCAACTCACTTCCAGATTGACTGATTCAATGTGTTTTCAGAGAAAATAAAAGGAACATTTTGAAGAATGCTCCAGGAGTAGAACCGTAAGTTTTGCACATCCTTGATATTAATATGCCTATAAAAAATCTCATCACTACAACATACATGATCACTATTAATTATTACTTAATATATTCTTAGAATAGATAGATACCTGAATAATTGCATGAAAAAAGCAAATACCAAAAATGATTTTTCTCCAGATTTTGCCCAATATATTTTCCTCAAAAAACGTGGGAGTCATTTCTGTGAAGGCTCTTCTGATGTTTGCCCGTAGACCTTTAGGGGGTTCGTTTGTTACCTGAATGGAAAAATATATGTACACACATGTATCAAATTGATTTTCAAATATATCTGTTAACAACTTCCAGATAGCATTCCTATGATGCTTCTATGAAATTATGTAATATGAAATAGCTATGAAGCAGTGGTAATTCACACACATCATGCCTCATTGCATTTATTCATTTGCACAGCTACAGGACTAGGTTTTCCAGTTGTGCACTGTGTTGTCAAGTTAATGCATGAATTAGTAGCTATCTGTATGCAAATGGCATTTTCTACTCAGAGGAAAACTCAGCTTTTAACCAAGTTAATATGTGATTACATCCCAAGTTGCATATAGAAATGAAAAGCTATCTTCTCTATACTAGGAAAAAAATGATTCTGCTTATATCAATGATAAATATGGAGGAATTGGAGTTAGAACTCATAAAATAAAGTTGTTTTTTATTGTTTTCAAATACCGGTAGTTCCTGACTTATGAGCCCAAAATTTCTGTTGTTAAGTGAGACATTTGTTAAATGAGTTTTGTCCCATTTTATGATGTTTCTTGTCATGGTTGTTAAGTGAATCATTTCAGTTGATAAGTAAGTAACCCAGTTAGTAACCCTGTTTCCTCCCTTTCCATCTAATAACTACTGGTAAAAATTTTATTTTGATTGTGATTTCTATTTTTATTATTTTAGGAATATATATCTGTTAGGATTTTACTGTGTTAATGCTGTAAGCCATCCAGAGTCGTTTTAATACAAGATGGGTGACAGACAAGTAAATTTAATAAACAAACCAACAGATAAGTAAACATGGTCTTGCATTTGTCATTTATGTTTTTTATTTGTTGTCTTTTAAACAAGCCCTGTAGGCATTTCTTCACTTGCTTGATTTCCTGGAATTTCTTTGTAAACTAAGAAGCATTCGGAGAATCTGAAACCGAAGTGAGGCTGCTTAAAAGCAATCATGTTCAGCACACTGTCTATCTCTCCATTCCAATCAGATACCAGGTGCTAGGCACTGAGTAAATCCCCATATGGTGCCAGGAAAGCATTCAGATCTATCAAGCTGCCAAGGACAGGCCATCTTAATTTGTTGACTGCCTTTGCAGAGTTTGTTGGTGGCAGTAATGATGTGCGGCTTCACCTGACAGCGAACTGACTATAGCAAAGGACTTAGAGCACTGTGCCCCATTTTTAAGTTGCATACCTTTTGTTCCACTGGGAACAAAAGTTCAAGTCCACAGCACTACAAGGAACCAGCCTGGCACCACCCTTCTGGCAATGACATGTAGAATGGCTAGCAGGCTGGTTCACACACTAATGAAAGCTCTAGCTTGTTCTTACAGTATAGACTCAAAGAAAGATTATATATTCAGGCACCATGAGAAGGAGCACAATTTGTCATTGGTCTCCGGTGGGATCACTCCCACAAATTTCCTCTGATTTTGCTGTCTAGGCTGCTGATAGATCCCAAACCCAAAACAGAATTATATCTTTTTTACACCTCTAACCAGGCTTTCAATACATGCCATGCCTGTTCATTCATACATCACTGTACTATGCAGTGATGAGGCTTTACTATAGATAGAACTGACATTTATCAATACCACCCAAGACCAAGGGTTGTATTCTATTAAAGCATCCAGTCTCATATTACATTGCTGAGAAACCTTTCTGGACCATGCAGATAAAAACGTCATTCATTTCTAGGCTTTGCCCTCAGGACAGGTACCCTGTTTCTCCAACAATACGGCCTCCCCCAATAGGAAGTCCCAGCATGTTTTATAGGCATGAAATGAAATTAAGCCCCTCCCCCCAAATTAAGGCCTATATTAAAACATGCGAAATGGGGGGGAATGGTGGGGGGGCTTGCCATTAGGAAGTACTTTTGTTGCACACCTGGATATGGTGCTGCCTGCGTTGACCCCGATACGAAGTGCCCCACCAACGCCGAGGTCAACATCCAAGCCGTCGCCGCCCGCCCACCCAAAGATGCAAGGGGGGGGGGAATTAAGTCACCCCCGAAAAGATGGCCTAGCCATTTTATCAGGGCTTAAAAAAAAATAAGACCCAGCCTTATTATATGAGAAACACGGTAATAGTGGCATCAGGAGCAATCTTCACCATTTTTAGAAAAACAGCACTTCTTAGTTCATAAAGCAGTTCACAATTAAACTTATGGCACCTTTACAATATGGAAACAACAGTGTTCATGGAATAACCAACAACTCTGAAGAGGGCATGAATTATTTCCATCACAACTTAATATTTTTTTAAATCAGATTTGATGGATTGCAGCCTTGGATGAGCCTAAACATTTTATTCATCAAAATGATCTTTTATGTAAAACATAACAAAAACAACCACTGCATGTGCAAAAGCAATCAATTATATAAGAAATATTGGGACTATTTTTAATGGATTTGAGCAGCAGCTCTTTCGTTGACTGGATTTTAACTTGATGAACACTAACTAATTTGAGAAATCCAAGTCAGAGAAACAGCTATCAAGGGAAACATGGATAAAGGAAAAAATTAAAACAAAAAGGGTAATGCATCCAGTGGCTGCTTTGTGTCCCTTTCTGAAGGATACCTCCTTTGGATATTGCAGAACGTAATCTTTTTTTAATAAACCTTCCCTAGTCTTCACCAACTGAAATGAACATTTAATATAAATTAAATAATGTAATTGCATTTATATAAATTCTTCCACTTCATCATGCCCCTTTGTTCCATCATCATTTAGGTTATAAATTCCTACAGAATCTCTTTTGGATTTTGATGCTATTTTGTTACCTAAAAACAATTAGATGGAACAAAGGAAGTTCTAACAGTTAGGGTGTTTGGGCTTTTTTAATATACTTATTTTTTTTTATGCTACTCATTTTCTAAGAGAAAGCAATTTCAGAAAGAGATAATTGCAGCTGCAGTGAATTCAATTTGTTCTGTAGGCTGAAAATAATTTACTCTGCAACTGAATTTTCCATTTTAATTTTTTTAAAAACCAGCCCTACCTTGACAGAATTCTGAAGGACAGTAACAGGGAAAGTAGTACATGGCATGGAACTCAAATAGAGTCGAAAGTTTTCATGGATAGTGGCACCTGAAAAATATGCAATTTTTAATAATATGTATGCATAAACTAATATTTTAGATAAAACAAGACATTTCTAATATAGTGAAACCAGAAACCATAAGATGCTTTATATTTCATTCCCTGGTCTTTGAGACTACTCCAATGTCAGAGAAGAGGAGGAATGTTACAATTTCTGTGAACCCTGACCAGGTTTGAGGGCTATTTTTTTTAATATTGGGAAAATGTAAGATTTGCAAGAGCCAAAGGAAGGTTTCTAGGAGAAGCTTTATGTTCCCATATCTAATTTCCCTCCTTCAGCTGCTATACAAATCCTTTAATAAAAGTTTTGAGAGAGAAAGAAGATAATCAAAGGTCTTTCTTCCTTCATGGTCTTTTTTGGAATGCTGAATTCATAAAAAATCTGAGCTTTCTAGCTGTGAAGGAAAAAATGGTCAATAGGCCAGTTCCCAAAACAAAATGCATTTTAAACTATTATGATCATTGCTCACCAATTACTATTCCTCACTTTTCAGCTTTTTCTATTAAATAAAAATTAAACATGGGAAGCAATCTGAAAACTAATAATTCTAATTTTTTTCATGCTGAATGTGACCTCCCAGTAAGTTTCTGTGAGGAAAATAAACTGCATGTATTTCTGAAATGTGGCAAGGCAACGAAGCAAACACTTTCATCTATAATACAGGTAATTCTTAAGTTATAATTGAGTCTTGCAGTCATTAAGTAGTTTTTTCCCCTGAAACGGAAAGTTTCTGGCAAAAATATGGTAAATCATGATCATGTGGCCCTGGGCTGCTACAATGATGTTGATGTTTGTGTCAATTTCCAAGCATCCAAAATGCAGTCATATAACCGTAGGTGGCGGTGACCCAGAGATATTGGGTCGTAAGTACCTTTTTGGGGTGTCTATTGTAACTTTGAATGGTCGCTAACCGACTGGATTTAAGTCAAGGACTACTGTACATGGGTGAAACATTTTTTATGATAGGCCCAAGGAGATACAACTTGGTTTCTTTCAATTAGAAATCAAGACTGTAGGACAGAGGTTAAAAGGTAAACTCAACATGACATAAATAGCAATAGCATTTAGACTTATATACCGCTTTATAGCCCTCTCTAAGCATATTGCCCCCAACAATTTGGGTCCTCATTTTACCCACCTTCCAGGATGGAAGGCTGAGTCAACCTTGAGCCTGGTGGGATTTGAACTGCCAAATTGTAGGCAGCTGCCCTGCAAAAGTTGCTTGAAGTACTGCACTCTAACCACTGCACCACAGAGGCTCCTCAATAAATGTATTGACATAAAAAGATTGGGGGGGGGGAATATATTATTGCAGCAAAAAGAAATGAGGATTTCTTCTTCATATTCCTTTCCATATAATTTAAACTTTCCTAGTGATTATTTTTGTATTTGTATTTGTTAGATATCCATCCCATCTTTCCCATAAACACTCAAGGCAGTTTCATATCAGTCTTCTTCTGGACATGAGTATATATAATTGCCTATTATGTTTGGTTTATTCAATAGAAAATGAACCAAGAACAAAAATTCTATGATTCAAGTCTTGTATTCTGTTGCCAAGAGTTTACAGTCACCCTATTTTTTCAGTAACTTCAGCAATATGGGAATAATCAGGTTCCATTTTATAAGGTTATTGCAAGCATAACTGAGCTAATGTTTGTAAAAAAAGTGATAACCATTAAAAATAAGAGGCATGTAAAACCTTCTGTCAGGAATGTTTCAATATCAAGAACTGCAGTAGTAAAGTAAAATACCCATAGAGACGTTGGTAGCTATTAAATTACAGGATTGAAATATTCAGAAGGAGATCACCAACTTTTCATCAACCTTTCTTTTAAATGTTGCAATCTATCCCCAACCTCCAACATGACCCCGTAGTTTAAATTCTGAATCAACTCTGATTTCTTTCAAATGAAGCATTCCTGAGAAAGAAAAATAATTTTAAAATACTTACCTGGCTCTGTAAATGTTTTAATGAGTTCTTCCATTGGTAACATCCATGACACAGCTAAATGGCAATTCTGAAGAAATACCCAATTTCCTGTTCTCAGTGCATCCTTAATCATTCTTTCAGCAATAGGTCCTTGTCCTTGTCCTAATGAGATTGATTGCACTCTGAAAATCAATGCACCGTGTTAGTATTCACATTATACATATTTGAAATACATTATTTAAATATTCTAGATTCTTAGTGATTAGCAGGATCAAATATTTACATCTAAACATAAAAATAATTAAACTTTTACATAAACTGTGCAATCATTTATTTATCCACTGAAATCAATACAGGATATTTTGTATGCTACATTATTACGAATCTGGACTACAATATGCATCTTCTGAAAAGCAGTTTTATTACTTTATACTGAATACATTCCGCACTCAGAGCTCACATTACCTGCTCTCTTTATTCATTTATTTCTTTTATTGTATTTATTAAAAACATTTGTATACGCCTCATTAAAAATATAAGAAGAAATTTTCGATAAAATTCAAACCATTAATGCAGTAAGTTTTAAAATGATTAACAAGCCTTTTTGTACAGATGCCTCAACCAGTAGGAAGAGCTATGCATTTTTGAAATGGTGGAAAACCCTCAGGATAGACCAGTGGTCTCAAACTCGCAGCCTGAGGGTCAGGTGCATCACATAGTGGCCACGCCCATCCCTGGTTTAGCGAAGGGGGAAAAAGTACATCAATGTGACGACGCGAGTTTGAAACCCTTGGGCTAGCTAGACCTTCTCAAATACAGCTGACATGAATCAGTTGTAAAACTCACACCATCTCCCTGTGAAACCTGAAAGATGCAAAACTCAAAGTAAAGGCAATAAAAAAATTACTCTGAAAGTTCTATGAGGTCTTTGTCCCAAGAAAAATTATAACATATCAAAGCTGTTAGGCATGACCTGAAAAAAGGTATGTTTGCCCTCAGTCAATCTTTGAACCCAATGAAGTACAAAAAGGTCCCCTCTTTTAGTTCTAGAAGTGGTACCAGCCTCTGAAACAAATAATCATACTTGAAACCCTGACTATTTGACAGTGTCATTCAAACAGCAAAAAGCAAAGGCTTATCATCTGCCTGATAGGTTGTCTTTGGCTTGCTATGGAAATCTAAGACTGTTGTATCAGCAATAGCAGCACCTTTGTCCAACTATCATAGCATCATTTTTCCTCAATAAAATTCTTGAGAGCTCAGTATTGTTGGAACTATGAATATATGCCACTATTTCTATTCTGCAAATGATGAAGGGAAAAACATTAATTTTCCCTTATGCTCCTATCTTTGTGAGATAGACGGGCAGTTTTAAAAATTTGATAAAGATAGATAGAAGGGAGGGAGAGAGAGAGAGAAAGAGAGAAAGAGAGAGAGATTGAAAAGAGGAATGCTCTGATTTTTTGTTGAAAAAAGATCAGATTTAGGCATATGCATACCAGATAAACCAAAGCATGGGACAAATGTTTATGAACATTTTTATGCTCTTCATAAAGGGCCTCTAGTTTGGCATCACATTAGGGAAGCACAGGAGACTCAAAACGTCCAGAGGAACAAATATATATTTAATGCATACAAATCCAATTTGACAGTTTACTTGGCTGTGCTTTGGAACTGAAGCCAGTGCAACTAAATACTCTCAGCCAGTGGCCAAATTATGACATTATGAATATTTAGCATAGTATTAATAAGGACAGGCAAAGTTTAATTATTACTGTTCTATTTTTTTCTTCACATGATCTCCTTTCTTATATTTTTAAAAATAGGAAACTAAAACAGTAAATGTATCACTGCTTGAGGTTTTGGCAGCTTCTTTTTAAAAATTATCAGCATTAAAATGTCATGTCTGATTCATCCAGCTTCAAAACGGGCAAGACAGATGTCAGAAACAAAATATTTTTTTCCTTCTTATTGAGGCAACAGTTCTCATTAATGAATCCAATCAGGACTAAATGTTGTCACTAGTGACAGAATACTACTTATTAGGAAGGAAAATGGAAGACTCCAGAAGGAGAATTAAACGTAGACAGCCCTCTTAAATGGGACACAGTGCTGCTAAAAACTATATAACCTGGGGATATTTAACATCTTTTCTTACTCTTTGCAAGGCAGCCTTTTTCAACAAGTTCACCATGTATGTATATAATCCAACTTTTTTAAAAAAATCTTAATACACCATCTTGAATACAGCCAAATTAAAAGAAAGCATAGTTTTTACATTTAAATGACATTATGTCTCATATAGAATACAGAATGACAATCTATACCGTTCTGAATAATCTCGCTCTTTTGCAAATCTTTGGAAAGCCCCCATGGGGTCGGAGCCTGTACTTAAGATGAACACCAGCGGTGTGGCAGGAGACATATCTTGGTAAAGAGTTGCCAGATCAACTGGAGGATTCTCAATGAATTGCTTCCCAAGGTTCTCGATTACAAACTCGGTAAGTGCTGACACAATCTAGAAATAGCAACACAGTTAATTTCCTAGCACAAGAGCATAAGAGCATAATGGTTGCAGTATGAATAAAAATAGTGGAACAATAATTGCATTTACTTTTCAACACTATTCATATAAAGTTAAATGGGTTACTTCTTTCAGTATACAGGTGGTCCTCGATTTATGACCACAATTGAGTCACACATTTCTGTTGCTAAGTGAGACATATGTTAAGTGAATTTTGCCCCCATTTTAGGACTGTTTTTGCCACAGTTCTTAAGTGAATCGCTGCAGTTGTTAGGTTAGTAACATGGTTGTTAAGTGAATCTGGCTTCCCCGTTGACTTTGCCTGTCAGAAGGTCTCAAAAGGGGAGCACATGACCTGGGGACACTGCAACCGTCATAATTATGAGTCAGTTGCCAAGTATCTGAAATTTGATCATGTGACCATTGGGAGTCTGCAACGGTCGTAAGTATGACAAAATGGTCATAAATCACTTTTTTCAGAGCAGTTGTCACTTTGAACGAACTGTTATAAGTCGAGGACTAGCTGTATTTTATTATAAACTACAGGTACTCCTCTCTCACTGACTGCCTTGTTTAGTAACCGTTCAGTTATGACAGTTAAAAAAAAGTCAATCAAAATCAAGTCATGATTTTTTGCATCTCATTTCATTTTAACACAATCTATGTGTATATATTTCTTTTTAAAATATAATTCTGAGAAGGCATCCATGAGTTTCACTAGATTATCCAAGGGGTCTAGGGACAAAAAGTTTAAGAGTGCTAATTCTAAACCACTAACATCTTTTTTTTCCAAGTTTTATTGGATTTTTATTTTTAAGTATATATCAATATCAATACATGAACAGTGTGGCCTCTGGATATAATCCACTTCGATACAAACAGCAGTAATGATAATCATAATAGTTGTTATATTAATCAAACTGATATAATCCTAGTATTAATATACATGATTTTCAGAATAGTTATTCAATATTTCAATGTTTCATTTTAATGCCAATGATATTATAAGCATACATGATAATACCATCTTTTAACCTCTGATCTTTTCTAATTATTACTTACATTCTGTTATATAAAAATTATATCTGCTAATATTCCCTCTATTTTTTATTTCTACCTCTATTCTAGCTTCTAATCAGGTCACCATTGCTAATCCTAGTATTAATACACATGTTTATATTAAGACATAGTCCTTCATTATTTGGTTGTTCAAAGTCACAATATGCCATTCAAGTACCAGTCTTCCTATTATTTAATAATACTATCTTTCAATCTCCAATCTTTCCTTCTAACTATTGCTTCATATAAAGGTGTGTATTCTTATTTCTACCTCTATTCAAATTTCTAATCAGGCCAACATTATATTCGAAAAAAATATAATAATTCCTTTCTATCTATCATCTCTCATCCGTTTTAATACTTCAATTCTTATTCATTTTTTGACTTGCCTCCCATACTCCTCTCTTGGATCTTTGTCTGTATCAACATCTGTATCTTCACCATTCATACTGAATATTTCTCCCATCTCTATCCTCCTAAGCTGCCAGGTCTCCAGAGTATCCACCCAAACCCCTATCTCCCTTTCAAAATTATCTTCCAGGTTATCCGATTCCATTTTTAAATCTCTTAAAGTACTTTTCCCTTGGTTTATTTCATCAGTCATTATTGTCTTTATCGTCTTCTCTTTCTCATCTTCTTGCTTTGTTTGCTGGTTTGTCCATTCTATCTTTTCTTCCATTCTTTCTGCTATCTCCTCTCTTTCCTGGACTCTTTGATCTTCATTCATTATCAGTTGTAGCATATTTTCTATTTTCTCATATATGCCTTGCATTAGGTTCTTTATCTCTCTGTGATTCTTTTATATAGTTCCCCTAATGCTTTGAAACATCAGCACCATTTCTCTTGAAATCTCACACATTCCCCCCGATGGAGCATCTTGTCATAACTTAATAAGTCCCACTCTTGCTCAAGTCCAAAAGCAATATGGTCCAGTCCAATGTTACTCCTCAGAAAGTTCAATAATCATAGTTCTTTACATCTCAGGATTAATTAATTCCATTTGAGTAATCCAGGCAGCTTCCGCAAATCAAAAGTCATTTTACTTATGTATCTTCCTTATTCTGACAATAGAGTCTCCAGTAATCATAAAGTAAATAGTTATAGAACAGTAAGTGTCCCCACAGTCCTCCAGATGAATGTTGTTTATTTCTCTTATCAATTTTTTTTCTAAACTTGTAGGGTCTGGTATATTCCATTCACCAGTAGATGGCGGCTTCAGCTTAGGTTTCAGCATTGTTTCAAGTCTTATAGATTTGATTAATCAAATTTAGTTCAATTTATGGAAGCAAAGTTGGCTATTCAAGTAGAGACAAGTAGATAGTTCCAGCATTTTATAATGCCCAATTTAAAAGTCCAATTTTCTATATTTTAAAAGGTCTTTAGCTTTTCTCCCCTTAGTTCCTTTCTTTTGGGTCTAGGATTTTTCTCTCTATGGTTGTTTGCCACTTTGAGAAATAGTTCTAAGAGTCGATTTTTCTGGATTTTCCCCTTTCTTTTTTTCTTTAAAGTTAGGGTCTAAATAAAAAGGAATCTTCTCACCCAGCTCCAATCTCTGTTCATCTACACTGTTCCTGCACATTTCTTAGTTGCCTCAGCTGTCACAGCTTCGTGGCAGCCATGATTGCTGCCTCTTCCCCTCATTGTGGATGAGAGGGAAGAAGCCCGAGGTTCAGCAGGAGAGTTGCTGCTCTCCGCGACCTGCAGGGCACCCCTATTTTCTTTACCATCTCTACAGGGTGGCGTTAGCTCCTTTTGGAGCCCTCCAACAGGGATAATTCAATGTGGGAGCGCCTCCAATATTCCTGCAACATCAGCCAGAAGTCACCACTACTAACATCTTATTGGAAATAAAAGAGAGTAGCTTTTTCTTCCTGCATGCCTGAAAGGACACTACTAAAATAGCAACAATGCCTTACATTGTCAATAAAAACTTACCTTCTCTTCCACAAAACATTTCACTATAATTAATTTCTGAAACATGGTCAGCCTAAAATCCCAGGGAATGTATGGCTTGTCATCTTTTTTTTTCTTTTCATCAGCTTCAGCCTTATAGCCTTCCCACTCTTCTGGATTGATACGAATATCAAGTTGCCCTAAAAAAATCATAATAGTTTCAAGTCATTTTCACAATGGGGTTGATATGATATTAGATAATGACTAATTCTATCTCCATATGGTTCATTAAAAATATGGCTCTTTTAAAAAATATGGCCATAATGATGTCTCACTGGAGATCATGTGTTGGTAAGTATATACCCCATATTTAATTTAATTTAGTTTAATTTAATTTTAATTTAATTAATTTAATTATTATTTAATCAGTCATTCTATTGAGAATCAATCATTGTGAATCAATACATATACACATTGGTTGATAAAACTTACATGCAGTTAAGACATACGTGTCAATGTAACAAAATTAAAATAACCAATAATAAACTGAAGTTAACATACAATTTATAAAAATAAATAAAATAAACCAGAAAAAGATAAATGAAACAATTAAACCATATAATTAATTCAAATTAACGAAAATTAAAGATGAAAATAAAAAACTAATCAAATGCGCATTGGAAAAGTTGGGTCTCTCAAAGATTCTGCAACACAGGAAAATATGAAGAAAAGCTTAATTCTAATGGAAGGGTATTCCTTTTACAGGCAGTCCTCGACGTAGGATCACAAATGAGCCCCCAATTTATGTTGCTAAGTGAGAAATTTGTTAAGTGAGTTTTGCCCCATTTTATAACTTTTCTTGCCAGTTGTTAAGTGAATCACGGAAATTGTTAAATTAGTAACCTAGTTGTTACATGAATCTTGCTTCCCCATTGATTTTGCTGGTCAGAAGGTCGCAAAAGGTGATTACATGGGACATTGCAACCGACATAAATACAAACCATTTGCCAAGCATCTGAATTTTGATCATGGGAATGCTGCAACAGTTATAAGTATTAAAAACAGGGGTGGGATTCTACCGGTTCGCACCTATTCGCTAGAACCGGTTGTTAACATTCTAAGCAGTTCGGAGAACTGGTTGTTGGAAGAAATTACTGGCCTAATCCTGTAAGGAAGGCAGGAAGGAAACATTCTGGTGTTGCTTACAGAAACTGCCTCTCCGTTAACCCTTATTACATGCTTGGCAGGAATAGACTTCCTGTCTCAGGAACTTCTCTGGAGTTTTTTTTCCCTTCCTTTCCTGGTACTTTGCTTGTGTAGAGTGACCATTCAAAGTTACAATGGCACTGAAAAAAGTGACTTATGACCATTTTTCACACATGACTGTTGCAGCATCCCCACAGTCATGAGAGGCCAGGCGAGGAGATGAGTGCCTCGATGTGAGTGATATTGAGTTGGCCATGCCCAGCCAATAACATCACCACCAAGTCATGCCCACCAACTTAGCCACGCCCACAGAACTGGTTGTTAAAAAATTTGAATCCCACCCCTGATTAAAAATGGTCATGAATCACTTTTTTCAGTGCTGTTGTAACTTTGAACGATCGCTAAATGAACTATTGTAAGTCGAGGACTATTTGTACTCTACAAAAGTGGGATATTACCAAAAACATCTCCTGTGAAAAATGCACTGGATGTTTAATTTGCTTGCTTTACTCATGTTGTTCTTTTTCCTGATCTGACTCTAATTTCATTTAGCATGCTTTCAAACCCTAATTTTAAATCCTGGTTGCCATTAACTCTAATTAGTGTGATATATAATTAGTTTAAATGTAGCACTATTACACATGACAAAGAAAGAAGAGAAGCAGAATTTGGGAATGGTATCAATGTTATTGTGGGGTTTTTTTTTTTTTTACTTTTTATTGGAAGATGTTGTGAGAGCTATTATTAGAAACCGGCATTTTTAAAGATTATAAAAACAATGGAGAGGAATGGAAAAATAGGAGAGATTCCATATCCCCCAAATTGCCTCTTGATTTGCAAATCATGGCTTGCAGACAGCCAGGATACTGTCTTAATGGGAGTATTTGCTGACAAAGGAAGAGGCTCCAATTATGCAAATACTAGTTGACAAAGTAGGCTTTAGTTGCTGAGACACTCATTAGGGGACTTAAAAAGAAATGTAGCATGGATCTCTCCCACAGTGGATTCACTAAAAAGCAGTCTGCCATTGCAGACAGCAACACTAAACTCAATCCCACAAGGTTTATCTTTTTAAAATAAGAGGCTCCAAAAAAACAAAAATATAAACCAAAACAAAGTTGTATATGACTAAAATACTTTCCTTACCATTTGTATTTCCCAATGCAAGCTTCTCTGATATTGTTCTTTCTTATGCAAATTTCTCTAATGTGAATGTTTAAAACATAAAATGAAGTGGCAGCTGCACTTGCTTTTACATGGCTATAGTTCTCCCCTTTGGGAGAGGTTTGGAGTAGATCAAACTAACTAGCCAGAAAGAACACCTTTAAGCACTTCTTCCTATGCTGTCTAGTTTGGAAAACAAGATCTTTATTGCAACTAACAGAATAATAGAGTTGGAAGGGCCCTTGGAGATCTTCTAGTCCAACTCTCTGCTCAGGCAGGAAATGTGACACCATTTCAGACAAATGGTTATCCAATCTTTTAACTAACTAACTAACTAACTAACTAACTAACTAACTAACTAACTAACTAACTAACTCTTATTAACCATTAAAATACAATTAAAATGTACACAGTATGCAATCTTAAAAAGGGAATTTAATTATTTGAGAGGATTCCAATTTGTGCAGGAAAAGCATAAAACCATTTCTTGTATAAACATTTTTTACAATCTCTTTTCAGAAATATGTTACCTAGTTTAATGAAAATGGGCTTGAGCAATATGTCTTTTTGAATGCCCTCAAAACTTGGAAGTGTTTCTTCTAAGTCACAGCACATAAACCACGTATTTTCTTCCAGCCATGGAATCTGAGGTTTGGCAGGCCTCTCCTGTTATAAAGATGATAGATGTGTCAAGTAAAATGGGCAAAAGTTGTATAGAGAATATATTCAGGCTACACATTAGATAAAACATGAATACAGTTGAAGAAAATCCAAAGCCTGACGTAATTACTGTATCGCCTAGTTTTCTGATTAAACCTTAATCTCATATCTCTGATCAGCTGCTTAATGATAACAATACGGGTACAGGTCATCTTTGACTTACAGCCATTCCTTTAGTGACCATCTAAAGTAACAACATTGAAAAAGTGACTTATGACCACTCCCTGTGCTTATGACTGTCACAACATTTCCATGGTCAGGTAATCAGTATTTCAGGCACTTGGCAACCAGCATATATTTATGACAGTTACAGCATCTCAAAATCACATGATTGCCATTTGCAACTTTCTCAGTTGGCTTCCGACAAGCAAAGTCATTAAGATTCACTTAATGACTACATGATTCACTTAACAACCATAGTGATTCGCTTAACAATTGTGGCAAAGAAGGTAATAAAATTAGATGTGACCACTTAACAATTGCCTTGCTTTCGTAGCAGATGTTCTGGCTGAGGACACTCTATCCTTTTTTTTTGTTAGAGTTTTTCTATTTTTGCTATTCTTTTTCTGTTTCTTCCCCTTTATAGACTTTAAAAAGAACAGCACCTTTCTGGGTATTTAAAAATTAAGTGGATTTGAAGGCCAATACCTACAGAAAAGGAATATCTCAGCCTAGCACTGCTCAGGCCTTTCCTTATTTACTGACAGGATGCTTGGCTGTATCCTGAATGGTTGTATCTCTATTCATTGTTTCTTATGTGTGTAAGGGTGTTTGGTAGATAGACAGACAGACATTTTATTTTGGTCATTGACTAATAAAAGTATATTCAATTAAACAAACAGCACAAATCTATCCCCTAACACAAGGACAATTAGCAACTATTTGTATAAGGATGTTTTGTTTTTCTTTGTTTTCTTTAAATTCTCAATGAGAAGTTAGAATGCTAACCTCTTGTTTACAATGACTAAAAATAGAGATTTGAAATTTCTTTAATTATAAAAATCATGCCCCAAATACCTTATCCAAACCAGCAGCTCCACGCAGGAAAAAATTCCATTCAAGGTCTGTAAGTTCTTCTTTCTGCCGCATGATTTCAATGCACAGCATGAAGCTGTAGATGAGTTTGTGCTGTTCAAAGAGGCCTCGGGAAACATTAGTGTAAGTTGCATAGAGAGTCTGACTAAGTAGGATTCCTAATCGCAATTGCAGAAGATCATGTTTTTCAGAAGTTTCAATTGTTGCATTAAATAGCTACAAAGAGAAAGGAAAAGAAAACTGGCATTAAAGAGGATAGGGAAAGTGAGATCCTGAAATTAAAAAAAAAAGAAGCAGAACATTAATTTAGATTTTTAAGGACTTTTTTATCTGGCCTTTATTGTTTTTAATAAATAAATGGAAGTGGTGAACATACCTAATACTCCTTCTTCCTCTTATTTTTTTCCACAGCAACAATACTGTAGGTGAGTTGGGCTGAGAGATGGTGACTGGCCCAAAGCAGTGGGCCAACTAAGTTTATTTAATTTTACATGCTGCCTGACTCTGAGTGAAGAATAACAGAATTGACAGGGACCCTGGAGATTTTCTAGTCCAATCCCTACTCAAGCAAGAGACCCTATACCATGGTTGTCAAACTTGCCACGTCACGTGATGTTTTACGACATTTTCCCCATTCGCCGAGATGGGGTGGGCGTGGCCTGAGAGTGATGCATCTGGCCTGTGGGCCATCCGTTTGACATCCCTGCCCTATACCTTCAGACAAACGGTTATCCAATCTCTTCTTAAAACCTCCAGTGATGGAGCATCCACAACTTCTGAAGACAAGCTGTTCTGCCAAATAATTGTTCTCTCAGGAAAGTTCTCCTTATTGGTTGGTTCTCTCCTTGATTAGTTTCTATCCATTGCTTTTTTCTACCTTCAGGTGCTTTGGAGAATAGGTGGACTCCCTCTTCTTTGTGGCAGCCCCTAATTAGTATGTACAGTTCTTCTGACAAATTATCTTATAGAAACACCAGGATCTAACAAATGAGGCAACCAGCTTTATCTGTAGTTATCTCAATCAATAATAAAGCAAGTCATATTGCAAATCATTTTAGCAATTAAAATGAGTTTCAGAGCCAATGACATGGAGGGAATTGTCTTTGTTACATCAGTTTTTTATGAGAAAAAAATTAGCTAATGGAAATATGCAGTTGAAAGAAAAGTTACCAACCTGTTTGAAATATTTTAAAGAAAACTGATACATTGGATCAATATCGGAAAGACTTGCAATTACAAAATACATAACTGATCCTCGAGTAGCAACAGGGCGATATTTTTCTCGAGCAGCGTTTATCTTTTCTTCTGTAGTTTCTGCTTCTACAAGCCTTATTTTAATGGCACCAGAGGTAATCTAAAAGCACAAATTTAAATTTTATTTAAGGGCTTATATTTCTCCCCACAATCTCTCATACATAAAATGGCTTCCTCCAATAAGTCCCTAAATAATAGGTTTGAGAATAACTGGCCCGAAGTCACCCATGGCTGAAGGTAATCTTAAACCTGAGTCTTCTTGCTCCTAATGTTGCTTTATAATCTTTATAATACTGTCTCATTTTAAACATGGAACAAATTTTTCACAAAGAAAGCTGCTGTACCATTTGGAAAGACACAGATAATAACAATAACAATATTTAATTTTTGCACCTTTTAGGGGTTCAATGTGCTGAAACCATACTCAGTTACAGTATGTAAATTTTTTCATATTAGGATTAGTAGGATTATAACTGAAGACTGTGTTTCTAAGGTGGATTAATTGCTCTAAATTGGCTTGATATATGAAGGAGATTCTTTATATTAGGATTATGAACTGAAGTAGTTGCTGGCAACTGTTGTAAATCTAATGATATCCCTGTAATGTAAGACTTAATAAACTGATTTGTGATCTTGGCATAAACAAGAGGTTTTTTACGTGTCATCTTTTTCATATTCCGTTGTTTGCAGATAATTCAAGAATAGAATCTATTTCTTAATGAAAAATGATAGTATTTCCACTTTGTAATATGCAAATGTCAAATAAGTTACTCCAATTATTCAAATGTAACCTTGTCTAGAATATAATCACTGAAAACCACAAGCTTAATATATTTCCTTGATTATGAGCACGATTAAATTTGATGATAGGTATATATGTAGGTAAGTAGACATACTGTATAGATAGATAAAAGACAGACAGATATAAAATGCATCCTGCCTTTGAGTCTTGAAGTGTATTGATGAGTTCTTCATTGTCCAGAATATTCCCTTCTGATGTAAAAAGCATTTTTAGAATTTTATCTTCAATTGCTTTCAGTTGATTCTTATCAGCATTGATTCTTATAATGAGCTGTGTTCTTTGCTCCTCTAGCTCTGGTCTCTCTAATCGCACGACATCACTGAAATGACAGGTAAAATGAACAATTGGTTAACATGAGCTATGTTATTATAAGTTAATGTTTTAACTATTATTCAGTACAAAAATCTTTATTTCTGATCCTTTGGAGCATAGGATCACAGCCACCATTATGCCAAAATGAGTATCACGACACTATAATACAAGCTCCACTACTCTCTAACTGCATCTCAATTCTGCATGCAAGCCTATAATGGATAGAAATTGTATTGCTAAGTCATGGTGCAGATTTTATTATTTGCCTCTTTCCCTGACACCCAAGTGCTAGATGGGATACTTTATAGAAAAAAAAATTGACATTCACAAAAGAGAAGATCAGCACCACCACCCCAAAAAAAACAAAACAAAATAGCTTAATGTGAAGCAAGCTTGGGCATATAATTCTGATTGCCCATAAGGCAAAAATAAAGTAAGAAGGGGAATGCAATGAAGAAGTTGGAAAAGGAAGACATTTTCAATTGTCTTTGAAAATATATTTCTAGAAATCCTCAAAACATGAGAGCTGTTTCTAGAAATAAATGAAGAAATGAAAATTTCTAATGTAACTTGGAATTAATGCTATCATGATTACAGATAGTCCTCAACTTATGACCACAATTGAACCCAAAATTTATGTTGCTAAGTAAGAAATTTGTTAAGTGAGTTTCCCCCCATTTTAGTGTTCCATGAAATATTTTAACAAATGTATTTTTAATTGCAATCATTGTTAAACTTTTGGTAATTTCTAATTTGCTTTGCTAGAAACCTACAGAATATCAGAATATCAGAACATGATACTATAACATAGCCTATTGGTCATAAGGGTCTCTAAATTTCTTATAGGTTTATAATAAAGAGATGATTTTCTAGAAATATTTCATTGTATTTCTCCCAAATATAAATTAAAACGACTGATATAAAGGAAAAAATGCTTATAATCATGTGTAAACAATCTCATTCAGGAGATGGCATTAGAATCATAAACCCAGCAGGCATATGCATATTGTACCAAACTGCAGCATCATAAACACAATGAACTGTATTAACCAGAGTTCTCCAAAGCAGGAAATTATACTTAACTCTTCAATGAATACCTGATTGCTTTCTCCTAGCCATGTAGGAGTCTCAAAGTGGAAGCTTCTGGGCAAATTTACAAATGATTTTATTTTTTTACAATAAACACTGTTATGTAGCAATGATTTGGAGCTCTAATTTTCCAGATAGAATAAAACAAAAAAAATATACAAATATTTAGTGTTTTATATAACTCCTTTCAAGAGCTTCTTAATGTTGATCCGGATATCAGCAAGTGCTTTCATACTTATCTTCTTATCAATTTTCTCAATTATAAAAAAAAAAGCAAGTGTTTGCTGTGGATTAAAAGTTTAGTACAAAAAGATTGGATTGAGGAGGAATTTTACTTAGTTTCTTGTTTGGGCTCTAAGTGTCAAGGAAGGAGAAAAATGTTTATTCAACAGAAAATATTTTTTCTTATCTATTTTGTTTTCCAATATCAGAATTAGCTCTAATCCTAGGGACGCAGGCAAAAAAAAACACACCTCAGTTTGAGGTTAAGCATGTCTTCAGCATGGCCTCCCGTAAGGGGGAACCACACTTTAAGCCTGGTGTAGGTTTCTTTTTAGCTTTTACAAAAGGATAGCACGTCAGTTGAGTTAATAAGAGAAGGCCAGGAATAGCAGTTGTTTTAAGCAGGTCTTTTTCCTTAGATTTATTTATAAGTGATAGCCAATGCCATATTAAATGATATGGAAACTATAAGGAATGAAGGTGTGGCCTGTTTTTAATCTATGCAAATGGAAGTTTCACACCTTTTTGCTGCTGTTCCCAATACAAAGCACCAGAGACAATAAAATATCATAAAATAAAAAATGGCAGAGGTAGTTTTCTCCAGAAACAACCCTCTGAATGGAAGCTGGAAAGAATAGTAAAATTTACAGAGTTACAGTAATCAGCGTTGGATCATTAAGCATGGAGATTTTAAATAATTTATTTGTTAGAACTCATTGGAGTTGATATTGATATTACCACATTTGATAATGTGATATTACCACATTTGGGAACATTAGTAGGTTCTTTTGTAATGCTTATTAGCACATAGCCACATTTCAGTGAAACACATTCTTCTGATACCGATGAATATTAGATTCCACTACTTTGTTTTATCTAATTAATGAATATATATAATATTTTTTCACATCTCACAACAATAATAGAAGAAACTAATATTGCTTCATGCAGGTGAGATGAGGCTACAAAGAAATTGAGCAGAATTTACACAAACAGTCTATAAGATTGAGGTTCCTGCTATATGCTATAGACATATTCCAAAATTACACTAAGAAATAGAAGCAATACCTTAGCAGTTGATCTTCCAGACCAGATCGGGTAACAGTAAAATTTATTATGGTTACTTTGATGCACACCTATAAGAAAAAGAAAAAAAGAAAACCATCTTCATGTTTTAAAAAAATGTTATATTCAGATAAAAAAATATTGATAAAAAGTTACAAATGACCCTTCAAAAGATGACAGGAAGTTCACATTGCAGTCTAGTGGATGTTTACTCAACTGTAAATCTCAGTTAAGGTCTCTTAATGAAATAGAAGTTATATATTTTATAAATATTTCGAATTCTGAAACTGGTTGCAAAGGCCTTAAGATATCCCTGGATTCTGCAAAGCAGTTAAGAACTACCAAACAAACCAAGCTAATGTGCTTTGATAGGACTTGATATTCCCAAGTACAGATGACATTCTTTAACAGTTTCAGTTGTTGTTACATTGCTCATTACTTCTGAAAAGTTATACAGTAACTGTGCAGAGGTGGTATCCAGCAGGTTCTGACCAGTTCTGGAGAACCAGTAGTGGAAATTTTGAGTAGTTCGGAGAACCTGCAAATACCACCTCTGACTGGAGATTTTACAGTCTCCTTCCTCTGCCATGCCCACCAAGCCATGCCCACAGAACCGGTAGTAAAAAAATTTGAATCCCACCACTGTAACTGTGGCCTTGAATTGATTTTTCACAGTTGGACTATAAAACATTTAATACCCCACCAAAATCATTTTATGGTGACATGAAAAAAAGCAACAAAATTAATAGCCCAATACTTTCTTCTTCCTTATCTTCTAATATATATTATTTCTTATACTGTAATGTCACTACGTTGTACCTTTTCCTGCCCTGTTTCAAATCACAGGTGAAGATTTAAAATGTGCACAACAATGTTGCAAAAAAAGTTAAGTATTTTAATATATAACAGAGAAAGAGGCAGAATTTAACATAAAATGCTTTTTTCCTTAGCCTTCTAATGTCAACTATAGTATACAGTTTAACTTCCTATTACAAAATCTACTATATTTGACTGATACATAGAAAATTCTGATGTAAACAATATTTATCCAGATGCTGAATCATTCACTAGCTGATTCACAACTTGAGTTAGCCTAAGGCTTCCTTTGACAAGGTTTTGTTGGAAAAGCCATTGTGGCTGCTTCTGTGTAATACTTCAAGCTATAATCAATCATTTATTTAACCCAAAAGGATAGGTTTACATAAAAAAGTATGTGGCCTTGAAACAATAAACCACATTAAGACTTAGTGTAATTGTATATGAGGAGACCTTCAGAAATGGGGTGAAGAAATAGTATCTATGGAACAAATAAGAATAAGCATAGCCTGCACCTGCATTTTTAGCAGAGAAAGAGGCTCGAAAGGGACTCTCCCTAAATTCTCAGAATGTAAAAGAGATGGTGGGCGAATTGTACTATCACACTTGCAAGATTCTGTTAATGTATCCTTACAATAAAGTAGAATTAACTCATCTAATCATGTGTCCTGTGTGATATACCTGGGAAGGCTGACACTAAGTTCACATATGATCAAAAATAAGCACAGTTACTAAATATTAACTGTACCAAAAAAGAGATAGATTGAAACCAGGATTTCTAGCTCATTGTATTGCTTGCGTAACAGAAAGAGGTACAAGAATGCCATAACTGATTTCATTATAAAAGCAGGAATTGTTTCATAATGGATCCACCACTTTTCTACAATAAACAAACTTACTTGAGAAGTTTGTCCTTTAATATACAGTATCTCTTGTTTCTCCTTTTCTCTCTCATATACCTTACCTTGTAGGAGCTTCTGTATGAAAGTGTTTGAAAGTTACAACTGGTTCTATTGTTTTCTGTATAATTACTATAGCAGTTTCTGGGCTCCATGACCATATTTCAAATTACATTCTATTTCAAATGTTCATAAGTGAAAGAAAGTAAACAGTTTGCTAATTTTAGCCCATTTTTCTCCATAGAAAAAAATGAGAAGCAAGCTGATTAACATTCATACTTCCCATTTCTTATACTAAATTATGCATACAAAAAAATCCACAAAGCAAAAATCATGGAGCCCAGAAAGTATCATTAGCACACTGTCTATCAAATGTACAAAAACATTCCCAGTATAACTTTTACAGATGTTCTTAATTTAGATAAAGAAAGCCTAAGATGGTTTTGCAAACAAAATATACAATTACTTTAATTGAATGAAAAAATATGCCTTTTAAAAAAATTCTTAGAGTCCAATTTTATGTTGTCTACTCAGAATTATGCTCAATTGAATAACTACAGAAAATTGCAGCTCAGCTACAACATCTAATTAATATGATACCTCAGGTAAATAGTGGGGATTTGGCATTTTTGTTGTCATGTAGAACTTGAAGTTTCTATCATAATCTATGTCTGAATCTCCAAGGCGAATTAACAGTCTTCCTCCAGAAACAAAAGTCTGTTTCAAAAGAATAGGTTCCAGGGCTGGGTCAAGCGTTTCTTTAATCTATTGAAAAAGAAGAAAAGCATACGTTTTACTAAATACAATTTTGAGAAATCATTAAAAAAAATCAGCTAGTGCATGCATATAATAGTATTTCAAAAGCTGGAACTCTGTATGAAACAGCTAGTTATATAATTATCTCTTTTTCAATTTGGACTTCATCAAGCCAAAAAGACCAATACAATTGTCCCTATCCACAAGGTTCCAAGTCTCCAAATCTTTCTGGTGTGTCATAACTGCTACATCATATAAAGGGCTTTGAGGCATTCATATAAGAAGTCCATTGTCTACCTTTATCATTACTATCGTTATATTCAATAAATATAGATAAAGCTGATCACTTTCTAGGATACAATGCTTTGGGATATTTATTTATTTATTTATTTATTTATTTATTTATTTATTTATTTATTTATTTATTTATTTATTTATTTATTTATTTGATTTGTCAATTGTTTACAAGATAATAAGTATAAGTGTATACATAGTTGTGAATACATGAGATGGGTACATATAAGAAAAATAAAAGAATAGAGAAACAATAGGACAGGGACGGTAGGCACGTTGGTGCGCTTATGCACGCCCCCTATCTCCTCCCTAAAATGGAAAAAAGTATTTTCAGGGATTCACAATGATAAAAGGCACAACTAGGATGGTTCCCCTTCCACACCTCTTTTTTTATGTTTTTCAACTCAACAGACTATATAAAGAAATAATATAAAAGAGCTCAGATCTATATCTTTCAGCAGGATAACTCTCTAACATCAAATGGCATGGAAGCAGGGTCGGGGAATTGGGGAATAATAAGGCCAGAGAAAAACTGTGTTTTAAAATAACTGGACCTGGTTTGGAGCTATGGAGAAAAGAAGTTTAAAAATCTACAGTACGGTACATCTCTTTTGGAAGAGGCAATTGGGCAACGAGTTGGAATGTAGCCTTTGACTTATGACCACAATTGGGACTGAAATTTCTGTTGTAAGTCATTGTAGTTAAAAACTGAGTCATCCCATGACGGGATTTTATGGCCATTTTTAATGTGATTGCTAAGTCGAATCACAGTCTTAACTATAAATTAAGTGACAAGTGTGTACAGAACTTAGGTTTCAAAGGATTTTATTATAAACTATTTGAAGCTTCTAACTATGATCCAATGTCCTCTATTCACACAGAATTCTCACAAGTGACAAATAACTGGCGTGGGGCCCAAGAGTGATACACAACCCTGGGGATGTTTGGTGGCTTGAGACACACCCTCCGCTTTTTGTAACATTTCAAATGTTTTAACTTGTTTTAATTCTGTTAAACCTGTTTGACACTGTTTTTTAACTACGTCTTTTTACAAGACCGCATGTTTTGTTTGTAAACTGCTCAGAGGCATTCATTCATGTGAGAAGGGCAGGGTAGAAATTTGATAAATAAAAATAAATAAACAAATAAATAAACATAGATTCTCCCAGAAGTTGAAGAAAGTCATTTTTCTTATGGAGATTTTAGCAAGCAGTTGTAGCCTGTGGAATAAATCTAATAGCTATAAATAAAATAATAATAAGATTATCGTATGTAAATGCAATAGATTCAAACCTCTTCTAGAAGCACAGGTAAACCCAGACGAATAGCATTCTCCAGTGTACGCAGGAAACCAGTGTCTGTGAGCTTAATTATTTTTAAACCACATTTTGCTTCTTTGTTTCTTATCCAACGGTTTGCCTGTATATTAAAAAAGATATGATTAAATGTGAAATTTTAATTGAACACTAAAACGACTGTTCATTTTATTTGTTTCTTAAAACATTCAGATCCTAAAATTAATTTCCTTCTTATTTCTATAATTGTTATATCAGCACAGAGTGAAATCAAAGTCTACTGTTTGCCTTGTTTTTTCAGGGTGATAATTAGAGGCAAAATGAGAATTTGAACCAATATTCCTCAGTTATGCTCATGCTTACGCAAGTAAAATTAAGATAAATACAAGAGAAGTTTCTACCACTGCCTACTATGTGAGATCCTCCACCTATGGCAAGGAATTCACATGAGAAAGAGGATTGTTATAACAAGCAGCAGAGGGATCCTTCAAATCTGATGCATATAATAGTGGTGGTATTAACAGTGTAGTAGAGTATTTTTTTAAGGTTTGAGAGAAAGAACACTGTCAGCATTGAGAATATGTCAGGGTTTATTTACTATCAACAATTCTCAGTTTATTTGCAGAAACTAGGAAATATGAATGGTTTCTCGTCTCTCCAAGTTTGAAAATGCACTGTATATTTTTTTAAAATATGGGGAATATCTACAGAAGATGCTATTGGCAGCATGGATTTGCAAGGTTCAGGAGGCACCTTCTTCATACATGGCAGTTATTAGAATGAGAATTTGATAAGGAACTTTTCATGAGAGCAACTAAATTATTGTTTACTGGGCTGTACTTTTTAAAACTCTTTTTCTTGGCATAAAGGGAAAAGAAAACAGACTACAGTGGCAATATGATAGGCACCTGATTGAGAATTACTTCAGTGATCCTGGCCTCTCACCACAGAGTAATGAATAAATGACCACATATATAGATTTTAATTTTCCTCTATTCTTTAATAATAAATTCCCTATTCTATTTAACCAATGGAGGAGAATGATATAATGGAAGCTGGAAGACAATGTCTAGTTAATTTGAAACAACTATGTCCTTTCTTTCACATAGCTACCTTGTTCTACAAGTACACCTATTTTATCACAGGGTAACTTCCATTTTGTTTTGTTTTGTTTTATTTGGTAGATTTACATGGCCACCCATTTCAAATACATGACTCTATTGATATTGCTTTTTTGTAGCTATTACTGCTATACCCTGCCATTACAGAAGACTGCCAGATATTACTGTGGTATGTATTGAGCCCAGAAGTGAATAGTTATAGGGCCAATTAAAATGTTGAAGGATTTCTGGGTATTCAAAAGCCAACAGTTCTAGAAAGCGGATAGCAGCTATTGGATAGATCTTCTATAATAATTGAGAAAGAAGGAGGTGTTTGTTTGTTCAAAGAATCCAGATCACAGTGATAGGTTGGTGAAATTGTAGTTGAGAACCAGAGGGAAGATTCAAAGGATCAGTGGTCCAGTTTGACAAAGTCAATTCAGAAAAGCAGTGGCAAATCCCTAAATTCTTCTGTGACTTTCTTTTTCTTTTCAAACTATTAGAGCAAGGTGACAGAAGAAGGAATATATTATCCAGAGCCTAGAAGCTAAGCTGGATCTCTAAAGGAACATAAACCAACAATACTGAATAATAATTGCACACAAGTCTTTATAGAAACAAACTATATTTCTTGGATATGTCAGCTATGAATAAATGATTAAAATAAACACTTACCTGATCCTGAGGATCAATCATGAGTGGCCAGCGCCGTCCACGTGTAACTAGAATGCCATTTTCAGTTGAAACATAATCGCGAGGTAATCCGTCAGTATTCCACTGTCGAATTTCATAGGGATCTCCCAAAATATTTATAAGACTAAAGTCAGAACTAATAGGAATGTCTAGATCTTGGCATTGTTTGATCCAGCATTCAATTAACTAATTTGAAAAGGGAAACATAAATCAGGAAAAGCTATTTCAGTTACTGTAAGAAATGCTAATTATTTTAATCAAGACAAAGTTTGCATGAGAGTTAATAAGGCAGATGTTCAATATGAAGATATATTTAACTGGATGATCTGAAATTATATAGTAATGTTTTGGGATATAAATAATCTTATAAACCAAAATACCTTTCTCTTAATGAGATTGTCAAAATGAGTAGGACCATAATTCTGATTTTTCAGCAATTGCTTCTGACTTTGGTAGTGGAAAATTATATACAATTGTAGCTGGATAGTAATCAATGGAATTGGTAGATATAAAAGTTCAAGTACTGGTAAAAAGAATTCAATGGTCATTAACATTAAAAAAACCTAATAATAAAAACATCCCAGATCCTTGGGAAGGATTCTATAAATATTTGGTTGACTGTGTAACCAACCATGAAAAGCTAATTATGTCAATATTTTTGCTTTTGTAGGCATCTATTAATGATACTAATCAATTACAAAAATATGTTTATTTTTAGATAATTTTAATTTTTTAAACAATTTGTAATTTCCACTAAAACACAGGTAGTTCTGGACTTACAAAAGTTAATTTAATGACCGTTCAAAGTTAAAATGGCACTGAAAAAAGTGACCATTTTTTTAGTTACAACTTTGTAGCATCCCCATGATCATGTGATCAAAATTCATAGGCTTGGCAACAGGTTCATACTTATGACCGCTGCTGTGTCCCAAAATCATGTGATTACCTTTTGCAACCCTCTGGCAAGCAAAGTCAATGGAGAAGCAAGATTCACTTAACAACCGGGTTACAAACTTATCAACCACAGTGATTCACTTTACCACTGTGGCAAGAAAGGTGATTAAATGGGGCAAAATTCACTTAACAAATGTCTCAGTTAACAACATAAATTTGGAGCTCAATTGTGGTCATAAGTCAAGGACTACATGTAAATAAATACATAAAGGGGGAAGAGGGGAAGCGGAAAGCGAACAAAAATGAAAAGAAAGTACACAGTTATGAGACCTAGAGATAATGGGTAGATGAGGAGTAGGAAAGGGGATTCTGCAAGGTAATATGTTATGGTATACAAGAATACAGACTTTTAAATTGAAAAGACTGGAACTGATTTTTTTTTTTTTTTGTTTCTTTTTTTAAGGATTATGGCTAAATCACATATAGCTCTAACTGGAATAATTGTGGAAATGGGAATTTATGATAAGAATGATAAGTGTAAAGAAGAATAAAATGAAAATGAATTATAAGGATTGTAATAGAAAGATTGATATCAGTTTCTATAATTAATTGAATACTTCTGAAACAATGATTTAGAATGCAATTGAGGGAAAAATACTATGCAGAATCTGACTTAATATATATATATGCATATGTGATAGGAGACTATTGTTATTAATCTAGAATGTGATAATTAAAAAGTAATTATATTATGGTAAATTATTATTATGAAATAAAGGGGAGTAAACTGAGGAATGAATAAGGTAAAAGGGTGGCACACTCAAATTGATAATTAAAGGGGGTTATTTTTTTCTTGAATTATTAGAACTATGATGAAATTAATTGAATAGTGAATGAAATAAAAGTATGTGATAATATTGCAAATGTGACAGATAAAGTACTGTATATAAGTATAATGAATATACAAATGAAATAGGAAATTTTAGATACCATTTTAAAATAAGATATGAGAATATTTAAAGAAAAATGAAATAAGCTATGATATGAATTGGAAATGAATATAATAATTGTGATGAATATAAATGATATGAAATTGATTATGATAAAAGAATATGTAATCAAGGCCACATTTTCATTGAAATGTAAAAACCTGGAACTAAATTGTTCACCAAAAGAGGTGTTTTTAAAATTTAAAAAATAAAAAACTTATTAAAAAAAACAATAGCACTTAGACTTATATAGCGCTTCACAGTGCTTTTACACACCTCTCTAAGCAGTTTACAGAAAGAGCATATTGCCCCCAACAATCCGGTCCTCATTTTACCAACCTTGGAAAGATAGAAGGCTAAGCCAACCTTGAGTCTGGTGAGATTCGAACTGCCAAATTGCAGGCAGCCAGCAGGCAGCAGAAGTAGCCTGCAGTACTGCACTCTAACCACTGCGCCACCGTGGCTCATAAATATTTGACCTGAGCAGCATGCTCCCAAATCACTATTTCCATTCTAGGTTACAGTTTCCATTTACACATTTTTCTTTCTTTTTGATCTTGATTATTATTTTAAAGAGCAGCATCAAAAAAATATCCAGTTCCCTTAGCCACTCTTGATTACTGACAGCAAAAAGGGGAAGATCATGATTTGGCTGTGTAGATTTTTTTTACAGTTCTCCATATGTGGGAAAATTATTTGCACTTATTTAGATTTACAAGTGCTTCTATGATGTACAGCAGCGTTTATGAAGCATACCGGCTTCATAATAAGATAAAAATAAAAGTCAAATCAGTAAAAGTTATGGTCTAGAGAAAATAAATATTTTAATTTAACTCACCAATTGTCTATAATGTGCAGTAAAAGCCCCATAGTAGGCTACACAAGCAGCAGCTATGAATACATTTCCAGTGATATTTGAAATCTCTGCCTCAAAATTCAAAATACTTTCTTCCCATCGAACCTGTTCATCCCCTAATGCAGCTGTAAGTCTTCCAGCGCGGTTGAGACGAGCCTGAGTCAGTGCCATGGTCTTTGCTAAACAATGATAATTCTATTAGATCATGGTTATAATTCAGAGTAATTCATTTCATTAACTATTTTTTGTCTTTTGAATGACTAACAAAACACAGCACTAGAGTTAGCAATATGAAAGATTTCATTATGGAGTAATTCTTAAAAAATAGATTACGATCATTTGATTTTGTGTTGATAATCTGCACTTTCTTACCAAACTGCCTTCCTAACATAACATGACACATTTCTCACATATGGATATTTTGCTATTACATTTTGTGTGTACGGCTTCAGTGAAAATATGTTTTTGAAAGATGACTGTGTAAGCAGGATTTTAAGATGTTACTAAACTACACTGGTGAACTTTTACAAGCAGTCCTCAACTTACAACAGTTTGTTTAGTGATCGTTCAAAGTTACAACAGCACTATAAAAGTGCCTTACAACATTTTTCACACTTACAACAGTTGCAGCATCCCCAATGGTCACATGATCAAAAATTCAGCAACTGATTCACACTTACGATGATTGCAGTGTCCAAGGATGATGTGATCACTTTTGCAACCTTCTGAAAAGCGAAGTCAATGGGGGGAGCCAGACTCACTTAACAACCATGGCACTAATTTAACAACTGCAGTGATTCACTTAACAACTTTGGCAAGAAAGATCATAAAATGTGGCAAAACTCACTTGACAACTGTCATGCTTAGCTACAGAAATTTTGAGCTCAATTGTAGTTGTAAGTCAAGGACTACTTGTATTAGTACAGATTTCATGAGAGCTTGGAACTCGTTCCATACACTAAGAAGATAATTAAGAAACACCACTCTGAAATATTTTTTATAATTTTTAAAATAGGTACTTACCAAGGGTTTCTTTTTCATTCACACTTCTTTCATATTGATCTTGTAATTCCTGTATTTGTTCCTCTACCTGTCTCAGTTTTTTTTGCTTATCACGAAGGGTAGCTAAAGTTGCATCAAGTTCTGCCTAATCATAATACGAATTAATTCAAATTATTATTCTGCCATATATTCTGAATGTCTTATTTTATTTATTTGCTCAGTTGCTTTCGAGCAAAATAGAATATGGAAGAAACTACAAATAATTATACATTATCACTACTTATATAACATTATAAATTATATAACATTTAATACATATTCATGTTCACTTTGAGGAATCTCAAGATTTCCTCAAAATGAGTCACCATCTTTAAAAATAGAATTGCATCTGAATCAAAGTATCACAAATCCAACTCTTTTGGTACCATGCCAAGCTAACGATTTATTGTAATACCAATATAATTTAATATATTAGTAAATGGAACAGCTATAAAATATTCCTTCCTACACCCGTTCATGCACACATGCTTTGTTGAGAACAAAAATGTTGGAATGGGAATTATAACAACTTTCCTTTGAAAAGTTCATGGGCAAATAGGCAGCAGCAGAGAGTTTCCTCCCTGATTTCAATTTTATTTTATATTGCCATAAGATGGTTCTCATTTATCAGATAATCAAATATTTCTGAAATATTGCTACTTCACTATGGCATGCCACCTAAAAACACATAAAGTGTATGGACTAATGATTTTGGGACATGTTAGCAAAATACATTAGATTCATTTATTCAATTTATAGAAATGCCAAATATATTTCTTCTCAAAGATATATAAATAACAACATTATAGCCCCCCCCCCCCAGCCATATGTTATCATATAAACATCTTGCTACAGAAATAAATCTTAATTGTTCTTCTAAAGATGTAAATGAAGGCAATTTCAGAAACAACACATTCCCTAATTTGGGGAACATGCAATAGAAATGTAAAGAGGAAAACAAAATAAAAACACAAACATTGCCACTCATAAAAATAAGCTGATGACTGAAACTTTAAAAAACATCATTCACTTGCAATTGCCTCAACTTTATATACAGACAGGGATTGTTCTGTGGGGAAGTGGGAAGTACATAAACTCAGTCCTAGCTTTGTCAGTTTGATTTAAAGGAGAGAGTTTGATAAAGAAAAAAAAACAATATTGAAATTGTTGTGGTAGCAGTGCTACTCTTCAGACAATGGTAATTTGAAGGGATATCTATAAAAGCTTAAACTAAGCAAATGTTCTCCATTACTGTCAGCTTGGTCTAAGTAAGCAAATGCAGAAGGGCAGGTCTAAAGAATCAGCAAATTCTTCTTTGACTCTATGCTTTTGCAAGACAAGAAGAGAAAAATATTCTATGCTCCTGCAGGTTTGGGAATGAAATGGAAAGAGAAAGAAAGGCATTTAACATCTAACACTACAAATAAAGAATTTTCATAATCCAAGACAGGTTACATGTCAATATAGGAATGAATTCTTTCATTGTATGAAAGAATCAATAGCGAACCGATCGTACTAGAAAAAGTGCTTGTTTTCATCACTTAGTTGCTAATAGGTAAAAACAGAAGAGAATTGATTCAACAGTTAATAATCAGACTGCAGATAAAAAAAAAATTTGGGGAAAAAAAGAATAAATACCTGGGCAGCATGTAACTTTTGCCTTTTTGGCTCGACCACCTTTACAACGCGAGAGTATAAATCCATAGCTCTCACCCACATGCACATAGACTTGCATGCCTTTGACACTTTCTCTACCTTTTCTGGCACAAAATCAGGATTGTTTATGTATTTCTGAAGCTTACTTAATATCGCGCTCTTTATATTTTCTTTATCATATTCTAGAAGCTTCCTCAGGAAAGTGGAATCACTGAGTAGTTGTTTTGCTGTTGCCCAGTCAGGCCTGAAAGATTAAAATGAAAAGATTGATGAAGATCTTCCCTGGAAAATATATATTGTAAAAAGATCAGTATTATAGGTTTTTTTTTTTAAAAAAAAACAACCTCCAGTTTTAAGATGAAATATACTGTATGTTTCATGACCTACAGGTATATCCAGTATGCAGACTTGGTGAAAAGAGTTAAAAAAGGCTTCTGATCCTAGGGGGAGGATATAATACAAGGAAATTGTGCTGGATGCTGCATGTTTAAATTATTTTTTTGCAGTATCATAAACTGAAGCTTCTATGGTTTGTCCCATAGTCAGCCAAGATGGTCAGACTGAGTTTTGCATTTTTATCTATTTACTGAGTCCTTTCCAAGGACCTGGGATAGACAAGTGTGAATGTTTGATGGGGGATCATTGCAGGATGAAAGCTGTTCCAAGTAAAGCTTATTATTATTTAGAGTTTTTTTTATCCCACCTTCATTATTTTTTATAAGTAAGAGAGAGAAAGAGAGAAAGAGAGAGAGAGAGAGAGAGAGACTGGCCCAAATTTGGGAGTAGAATTTAGTCTCCTGCTTTCTAGCCTGGTGCCTTAACCATTATGAATATCATTTAATTCATTTTTTGAAAAAGAAAGTATATTAAGCTGCTACAATTTCTCTTCCTGTACAGCATAGAAAATTTAACCACATCCCAACATGTAAAAATATATAATTTCATTATCCTGAGGCAGTTTTTTTTTATCTTTCTTTTTCCTTGGCAAACACAAGGTTCCTTTCTATTTTTTAAACAGAAAATACGTTTTCATCCATGTCATTGACATCCTCTAAAAGTAAATGAGAGATTGATAAAACATGCTGCCATTTTTGATGTCATACATAATTCTTTTTTATGTAGAAATGGAAAGAAGGTGATTTACAACTGCATCTTGAGGCTTAGTTCTGCTGAGAAACTGAAATGCCAGCACTAAATAGTCCAAGTGTTGTACTTTATTTGGCAAATAACATTACTGTGGGCTGCCTGCAATCCTATGCCACACCCTCCAAAATCAATTATTACATGTAGATTTTTATTTCTGAGTAAACATGTATAGGGTTACACTCTTTATGTACTATTATAAATAACATAAAAGATGTGATTAATTACAGTCCTTTGTTATAGGAAGAGAAACTCATAAATGAAATGTTCTGATTTCTCTTCTCAAAAAAGGATAGTTATCTTCATGTCAAACTTTCATTCAAGAGCTCAAATTGCTACATGACAAAACAATGTTGTTTTAAAATCAAGACTACTGAAACATAAGCAAAACATCCAAAAAGGAAAACAATTCTACATTGTTCTATATGATTTAATGCATTAAAAAGGATATGGAGTATACAGATTCTCAAACTGATATCAATAGATGAAGAGAAGATGGCCTTGTAAGAAATTGACAATCATATAAATAAACTGATACTATTTAGTCATAGTTATTGAACAGTTATTCCATTTTAAATTGGTAATATTGGACAGCATTTCTATTTATTCAGATTCACTGAATTCAGTGGGGTTCGTTTTTTTGTAAATCTTATTAAGAGTAAATCAGTACTAAATCCATGGTTTTGTCTAATAAACATGTGTAATTGTGTAACATAAATATATATTATGATCAATTTATTCAAAACAAAAATACAAAGTGATAATCTTGATTGAATTAAGCAAGCAAATGAGTCACTGTTATTTTAACCATTTAGTCATATCTGACTATCGGAGACTTTGTAGGCAAGTGCTGCCCATGCTATCCTGTCAAGCACAGCTTCTTTCAATTGTTGGATGCACAACTTTGTATCAGATTTAATGTTATAAAGCCAGCATGTTTTTGCTTTCCCCTTCTTCTTATTCCATTAATCATTCCTAGTATCATTGCCTTCTCCAATGGATTTGCATGCATGACATGGCCAAAATAAATCAGACATAAACAAATGAGTAGTCATCATAAAACATCAAAGATGTGCATCTATTTAGGGAGTTATTCATACTCATAAGCAGATGGGACATACAAGGCTTAGAAGGGTAGAGTCAACTTGCAAATTTACTCTATGTGTCAGTTTTGTCTGGCTTGGCATGTACAAAATTGAATTTAGATTCAATATGTAATAGTTGATTGCAAATGTCAGTCATTAGATAGACTATGCTAAGGGCAGAATGGACTAGCTATGAGATGTCCAGCCATCCTTATATTCTCTACAAGATGAATCAGACCACAGGGCATTTTAACCATTGGGGAAGACAGTTCAGAGAATGGTGTGGGCATTTGGTCTTTTGGAAAGCTTAAAGGTCAATGAAATACCTATGCCAGCAGCCAATTGAACAGCTATATTTCGAGGCTGTGCCACAATAGTTGACAGCTTGTCTGGGGGGTGGGAAATGTATCAGCTGAATCAGCTGGAACAGTGCAATGGCAGAAGAAACATGGAAGGAAAAAAATAACAGCAAATATTGAGAGGAAAAGGGTGCTGAAGTGTACTGTAAGCATTAAGGAAGAAGTATAGTTTGGTGATAGTAAATGAAGTCCTACATACAATGAGGTGGACCAGAGTCAGAACTTGTATTTATTTTTTATCCCATCTTTATTATCTGTATAAATAATCTAGGGAACATACCTCCTCCCTTCTTCCTCCTCCCATTTTCCCTCAAACACAACCTTATGAGGTAGGTTGGGCTGAGAGCGAATGCCTGGCCCAAAGTCACCCAGCCAGCTTTTCATGCTTAAGGTGGAACTAGAACTCATGTTCTCCTGGTTTCTAGAAGGGTGCCTTAACCACTATACAAACCTATCTTTTAAAAAAGTATATTACTATGCCTTTCATTTGCTCTCCAATAACTACACTTGAAGGATCATGCTTTACTGAATTCCTTTGGGATAGGCTGTCAACATTCAAGGCAACATTTCTTTTCTCAAGATTGCACACCGGCTGTAGAAGACAACTGTGTGACCTTGGGAAGAGTCTAAGTAGTTTAAAAAAGTTGCCGAGAGGTGCCAGGTGCTCTCTGATGCATATTTATCCTTTTGAATTTGAAGCCCTAATATCGGGGGGGGGGGGGG